GGCCTAAATTTGATTGGTTACTGTAATTTTCAATATAGTCTAACATGAAATCGACTAAGTCGATTTTTTGAAAAATCGGCTGACTAAGCCGGCTAAGCTGATAAAATCGACTACACTACCCGGGTCTTGTATCCGGCCATTTACGGTATTATCATACGCATGATATTTTAAAGTACTTGTTTATAACTTGATATATATTTTGTTAATAAAAATTACAGCCATCATCCACAGCCTTAGAAGAGCCCTAGTGTTCACTGTACAAAGGAATCTCAAAATGACCTTAAACCTATCAACTTAGAAGATAAAATATATTGTTGTCTATTGAATGACGTAGAATTGTGCAGTAGATTAAAGGAAATTAGGAATGCTTTGTATAAGATTGCTTTATTCGCTACTATATAAGAGTGTCGCTAAAAGAAAATCTGAAAATTTAAATATGACTTATATTTAAATTTTCTGGTTTTCTTTTAGCGACACTTATATTAAATAATCTTTTATTGTTAACTGCTTAATTTAGATAGATAAATAATTAAAATCAAGTGAGAAATTTTTCTTATTCATAATTTAGTTATTCCATGTAAATTTAGATCATAATATCGGACCTTTTTCTTTTACAAATTGATATTTACACTGAATACTGTATATTATTATTATCATGATCCTAATCATGATATCACATGATTTTCGAAACTTTTTTTGGGTGGCGATTCTACCCCGGTCAATTTGATTTGGGTCAAGTTAACTTGACCTAAAAACCAATTTAGCCCGTAACGGTAACAATTATTGTTATACAGCAATTAAAATTCTTATTCGTAATATCGAATTTTGTAAATATTATATCGGTCAAATAAACGTCGACACTTATTTTAATTTCTCGAAATCAATATACAATATGCTATGTGACCTGCACTACGTTTGTAGACCATATAGTAGTAGGCACCAGTGTGTAAAATTTAATTTCCAAGTGTAACTTAAGATTATGTTCTTGGAGAGCATTGGGAATATTGAATTTGCGCACTGGAAGATAATCTAACCACTGAAAAATTTTAATCAATCTGATGTAATGACAAAAATACTGATGAATCAACGGTACTGACCTTGATATGGGAAAAAAATTATTTGCGTCTGTTCCTGAAAAGGATCTTGAAATCGATATACTAATATTGCATTTTTTAGGAACAGTACATAAATTGACTTTTCTCACACCCACCAGGAACGGTGCTCAGAAACAATAACTCCTTGAAAGTTGTGTGAATTATGCCGTCTGACCTTATATACTAGCCCTAATAATGCGCACCATATTAAAGTTGGGGCCTGAACTTTCCTAAACCCTTTGTGTCTGGGTTACAATATTGGCTAGTTTTGAATTTAGTATTTTTTTTGTTTCTTATTCTCTGAAAATTGTAGCGTAAATACGGTACCGAAATACAAAACTAATGCCAAAATCCAAACCAAATACGTTTTTTTATATGCCAACTTAGTAGCATATATTTAGAATTTTGGAATATATTGTATTTAAATTTTAATATTTGCATGGGATTTGGCATTAGTTTAGGTTCGGAACAATCATATTGGCTTTGGATTTCGGGGTTAGTTTAGGGTTTCGACTCAATAAAAAAGGTTTTGGCACCTAATCAACATCATACTCAGATCGGAGGTTTTTTGAAATTACATGACCAGAAACTTCATTTTTTTTGATTCTAATTTTAAATTTATATGCACATTCTAATCTGAAATACGAACGAAATAACATACAACATAACCGCAAATAGGTAGCTATCTCTGAGAAATGTAGTACGCAATGATAGCAGATGAATACAATACGCATATATACTCAACTATTACTTTTTCTAATAAAAAAAAACAAATTTAATAATAATCTTAATATTGTGTCTAATTGAAAATTACTATGCCCGTATTATGTACGTACATGTTATATTTCAATTAGTCAAAATGCTAACATTTTTTATACTAATACTTTCTAAAATTAAAGTTCCACAAATCATCAATCAGCTCTATTATAACTTTGCATTTATCTTTGGTCTTTTTTCATATTCTTCCTTAACTTTTCGTGCTCTTTTCAATTCCAATTTACCAATTTGTTGTATGTGTACTTCATCAGGCCCATCGGCAAATTTTAAAGTACGTCCAATAGAATAAATGTAGGCAAGTGGAAAATCATCACACAAGCCACCAGCTCCATAAGACTGGATTGATCGGTCAATAACTTTAAGTAACATGTTCGGTACTATAACCTGGATGTATGTATAACAAAGACTAATTCAAATCTATTTTATGTATATCATGATAACAAATCATATTACAAATGGTGATTACCTTTGCCATACCAATCTCTTTCAAGGCACTTTTGGCACCCACTTTATCGATCATGTCTGCGGCATTTAGAACGAGTAGCCTAGCTTGATCGATTAACATTCGTGATTGTGCAATGTCAGCAATTATAGTTTCATGTTCGGACAAGAATTTTCCAAAAGTACGGCGAGAAGGATCAGTAACACGCATAAGCATCAAATCTAGTCCACGTTCTGCTGCACCAATTGATCTCATACTTTAAGTAACAAAAATAAAATAGTATCGTTAATATCGTTAATATAAATGATCACAACTTATATATGATATTATTTAAACATAAAACATACCAATGATGAATCCTACCAGGTCCCAATCGTCCTTGAATAATTTCGAATCCTCTTCCTTCACCCAAAATAATATTTTGAACTGGCACTTTAACATCTTTAAAAATGATTTCACAATGTCCTTCTGGTGCATCATCATAACCAAAAACAGTAAGCGCCCTAACAATCGTAATTCCGGGTGTGTTTCTTGGAACAATAATTAAACTATGTTGTTTATGCTTATGCGCACTTTCATTAGTCTTGCCCATCACTAAGAATAAAGCACATCGTGGATCCCCAGCACCAGAAATCCACCATTTATGACCATTAATCACATATTGATTACCAACACGTTTAATTGATGCTTCAATATTTGTAGCATCAGATGATGCAACAGCCTTTTCTGTCATGGCGAATGCAGAACGAATTTCACCATTTAATAAGGGTTTCAACCATTTTTCTTTTTGTTCAGGAGATCCGTATTTAGCGAAAACTTCCATATTTCCGGTGTCAGGAGCAGAACAATTTGTAGCCTAATAACATTTAATCATAACAAAATAATTAAAAATGACAATAAGAATTATTTAACCAGTAAGTGATTAAAATGACAATAATAAGATAAATAAATACTTCAGGAGCAATACGAATTGATTTGCCCATAATCTCGGCCATAAGTGCATATTCAAGGTTAGTTAATCCAGCACCTTCAGAATAATGTTTTGAAAGAAACAAATTCCAAAGTCCTAATGATCTAGCTTTCTTCTTAAGCTCCTCGATTATAGGCGGGATATACTAATTGATATTTCATAAAACGAAATATGTGAATTTAAAGGTAAATTGAATCGTTTTAAAATTTAATCATTAAAAAATTTTTATTTATTACTTTAAATCTTTCTTCTCCTTTACCGAGTTGTTTAAAATAAACTTCTTCAGCTGGAATACAATCATTCTAGGTCACCAATGCAAAACATAATGATAGTAAGTTCGGATAATGAATGGACTCTAGTAAATTGATCGATCGTTGAAATTTCTTCGATTTTTATCAACCGACCTCGACAAAATCATCCACCAATTTAATTAATTCTTTTGCACGAGGTGAAATTCTATCTTCAATCAATGAAGGTATCGTATAGACCATTTTGTATATTTAAATTACCAAGAATTCCTTTGAAATTTATACTCGATACTGTACATAAAAAATATCGTGAGAAAGTCTTCATGATTATCATCGTATTTAACGAATATGTACTCACTGCAAGTGATACAAAATTAGGAGTAACGTGAGCAAAGATTTTTTGTTATTGCATTTTTTTTGTTTCTGGCTCATTCATAAAATTTTTTGCACCTTTCGATGTTATGATTTTTTGTATTTTAGTTTGTAAATGCAGACAGTAAATTTTCTTTTTAAATCCTAATTCAATATATCCATTACACCGATAAAAATAGTTATTATGGGTGGATCTCTTTTAGCTAGTGTAGGTGACTCCATTAGAATGTATTATTATTAATTGATTTAGGGTATGATCACCTATGTATATTGACTCGAATCGTAATTATCTAATACGTAATAGCGACTGGTTTAATATCTTTGACGTTAAAGCGACATTTGTAATACAGGAAGACGCAAGTTCGGACTGCTTTTGACACACTAAACAAAGCAGAGCAGCCGTTAAAAAATATTTGCATCTTTATTAGGGATGTAATCCAAACTATTTGGGACGACCCTTACGTGACAATTAGTATCACATTTTTGACAATAAGCATAAACCTAGTAGTAAATACCTATGTGATCCTAGTTTGAGTCGTCTCAAATAGTTTGGGTATATTTATTGTTAAAAAGAACGACAGTGTACTCTTTCCCTCTGTTCCTGTGTTTAGCTTAATTAGAAATTATAACCTGGTCACTATATCAAGATCGTAGTGTATAACTATTACACTGGCGATCATAAGTAGTGCAACAAAAAAAAAATTTTAGTTAGATCAAATTATCTCATGCAATTCCAGTCGT